GTCACGCCGCCAGCCCCTGCTGCCTCAGAAGGCTGGCGGCCACGTCCCACTCCCTCGCCAGAGCCTGGAGCCGCCTGCGGAAAATGCTGAAGACGAAGTGGCCCTGCCCCAGCTCTAGGTCCACGGCCATCTCCTGGAACAGAGTGGGCCACGGTGCTCATCCCGCCCCAGACCTCATGTCTCCTCTACCCCAAGAGCATAAAGCGCTCACCGAGTGCGACCGGCCACAGCAAACACTGAACCATGAAGCTCACCTGCAACCTGCAGAAAATATCCCGGAAGCCTGTGTGGCCACCACGGGCCGCCCCGGATTTCTCTGAGTGGCCATCACTTCTTGAACTGAAATACAAACGCAAACACATCTCCTTGGTCTCCCTGACCAGTGCTGACGTCCCTCGCTCTCGTCCTGCCGTCACGGTCGCCAACAGACTGCAGTGCCAGCCCGGCCAGCACTGCTCAAGGGGGCACGTGCCGAGGACGGGTGGGGTCTGCCCCGGCAGTACAGGGTGCAGGGCCGACCCAGCGTCCAGAGCCAGCGCGATGCACTTGTCGACAGAGCTGGATTTAAAATGCACACTCAGTGGTCCCAGCAGACCCAGAGAAAGCTTCTGATAAAACTTTATGCCCGGGACCACCAGATGGTGTAACGGTCATGGCACTGGATTCCCATAGTCAACCACGGTTCCAGTCCTGGACCCCGTGGCTTAAAACACACTGGGTGTGTGCGCATCTGTGCCCCAAATCCCAAGAGGACAGTGGAGAAGGGACTGTGGCGTGGTCACCCTCACTGTCTGTCTGTCCCTCTGGCAAGCGCACATGTCCTATAGCAAAAATCTCTCCTAAAAAAAAAAAAGAATCCATGCCAAAATACCTCTGGGGCTGTGCCAGCAGGTGGGTGAGGCACTGGACTCCCACGTGCCTACGGTTTGAGTCCTGGACCTGGTGGCTTGAAACTCGCGCCAGGTGTGCATGTGTGCATGCCCAAAACCCCAAGAGAGGGTTGTAGGGAGGTGACTTACCACTCTCTCTCTGTCTCTGTCTCTGTCTGGCGAGCACATGCACCCTATAGCAAAAAGAAAAAAAAAAAAGAAAAAGAAAAAAAAAAAAATCCTACCGGGGCAAATGCGGGAGGTTAGCGGATCAAAACACAAAGGTCAGGGGGACCAGCAGTTAGCGTAATGGCTATGTCGCTGGACTCCCACGTAGTCGACCGCAGTTCGAGTCCTGGACCCAGTAGCTTAAACTCATGCTGGGCACGTGTGTGTGCGTGCCCAAGATCCCGAGAGGAGAATGAAGGAGAAGGGATTGTGGCGTGGCCAT